AAGTTAATTTAGATGAATTCCGTTAATTTAAGAATTTGAATTGTAACGTAAATTTCTACTACGCAGTTTATTTGAATAACTTCACAACAACAACCACTGTATAGATTTTTCTACATCCTTCCATTTCCTCTTTCATTTTCTATTTTGTTATTGTCGTGCAATTCTTGTTAGACGTCATTCCTCTTTCTTTGTTATTCCCTCGCCTGTATATGTGTTGTTGTTATTCCTCTTTCTTTGTTATTCCCTCGCCTGTATATGTGTTGTTGTTATTCCTCTTTCTTTGTTATTCCCTCGCCTGTATATGTGTTGTTGTTATTGTAAGTTTGTTTACTCAAGTTTGTTGTTGTTATTGTTCACTCAGTAAGTTTGTTGTTGTTATTGTTACTCAATGTGTTTGTTGCATTGGTAGATTGTTCGTGATCTAGGTGTTACCAGATCGTCTAGAAACTTCTGTAGCGACAGGCAGGGCTCATATAAATAGAGGGAATGGAAAGGCAGTGAGTCAGTTGTGAATCAGATCGCGAATTGAAACCGTCGTGTAAAGTAAAGTGCAAAGTAAAGTTGTGTGAATAAAATCATTGTAATAATCGTAATCCGAAAGAACCTGCGTTTTATTTGGTACGAATTGTATCGGGAAATAAAACAACGTCTACACGGGATTTAGTAAAACCCAAGAACGTAACAATATATATATATTATGAGATTTTTATAGACCTATTAAACAGTACCGGCATTTTTCTTTTTGTGCATTTAATTATGTCTGCAAAAATGGCACACGTCTTCCTTTTATCGCGGCATGACTTTTTAGTTTGAAACTGCGCATTATTCCAAGAACTGTTATATAAATATGATTAAATATATATACAAACATATTTCTTAAAATAAACGTAGCTTATCAAAGAAAGATTCAATTTTTATATGAGAAAAGTTTATGTTTTTATTATCGAATCATAATTTGTCATTATCAAGTGAAGTGGGTGGGCATACCCACGCGTTTAGCGGCTGAAGAAATTGGCTAATGTTCTATGGAGTATAAAATTAAATAAAAATGTGTTAAGTGGAAACCTATTACAAGTATAAGGGTATCCGACCTATATAATATATTACAGTCATCAATATTAAATAACCAGTAAGGGAAGGATCATTGTCTGATGGGGCCGAATATATGATATCGTATCGCACTTTGGATACATACAAGAGATGTTCATACAAATGCAATTGTAACACAATATATATATATAGACTTTACACATGGACAATTTCAAATGTAAAAGCTCGAAATAACACTAATTATATAAATTTTGAAATTTGATATCTATCATAATTGTTAAATCATAAATCATAATAAAGTTAAAATTTAGAACAAAATAAAGTAACAATAACAACAAATATAAGCAATCCCACGGCAGCTGGTTCTTTGTACCGGATTGACTCGGAGATGGACTCCGACCAGAGTCCATCTCCGAGACAAAAATGACGAACACATGTTCGTGTTCGTCATTTTTGTCATGGGAGCGGCATTATATCCCGGAATGCCTGCTCCGAACCCTACTGGTCCATGCCGGGATTGAAAGTAACCCCGGACCTTGGTTCTGCAGTGTTTGCAGAAACCGCATCCACCACAAATCTGTCTCGGTGAGATGCAATGGATGTGGAGAATGGGTGCATTTTCGAGGCTGCTCTGGACTGAACAGGATCCAGGAGTACTGCGAAAGGAGTTACGTTGCTTCATGCTGCGCTAGCACGTCTCCCAGTGTGTCTCAAGAGTCGTCGTCCGATTCATCATCCGAATCGTCATCGTCGGAGTACGAGACACCCCCGCAGTCTCCCCAACAGCAAAACGCGCAGCATTTAACACCACATATTGCTGTTCCGCGCCTTGAAAATGCATCGTTTTTGCAGTTCAACTGCGACGGTCTTCGCAACAAAATCAGCGAAATTGTAGATTTTATGAGTCGCAAGAGAATAATGGTCGGTGCGATCCAAGAAACCAAGCTAACTGAGAACTGTAGCTTGCAGCGTTGCGATGGTTACAACGTTGTGCGGAAGGATCGTACCAGAAGCGGAGGTGGGGGACTCGCATTCTTATTATACCATTCTGTCCAGTACAGACCTATCTCGCTTGAGCTAGACTCTAGTGACCCATACATGGAATGTAAGGGGGTAGCAGTCAAGTGTGGAACTGCCGAGGTAGAGGTGCTCAATGTTTATATACCGCCGATGAATAGCTGTACACCGCGTTATTTACCGGATATCAGTCCGCTTTTAGAAGGTAATAACCGCCTGGTACTAGGGGATTTCAATGCCCACCATGAATTATGGCATTCCGTCCTAGGTAATGACCAGAGGGGTACAGCGCTGGCTGAGCAAATTGATAGCTCAACATTTTGCACGGTTAATGAGGATGCCCCCACGAGGATAAGAGGAGATTGCCACAGCTCGCCAGACATCACCATTGTGGCATCGGGTCTGATAAATGACGTAACCTGGCAACCCGTCGTTTCACTAGGCTCAGACCACCTTCCGATCATCGTCTCCGTAAACAGACCACCAGACTTCATAACCTCTGAAAGCCGTACTTTCCTGAACCATGGGAAAGCTGATTGGCCTGGCTTCAGAGAGTTTACCAATCACCGCTTCAGAGAGCTGCCCACTCCCTCAGATCCACGGGTAGCTGAGAGGAATTTCCGCAAAATCATCGCTACTGCTGCCGCTCGCTTCATACCTGCTGGTCGAATACCCGAAGTAAGACCTAACTTCCCAGCAGAAGCAACGGTATTGGCCAATGAGCGTGATGAGCTCCGTCGTACTACTCCTGAGGACCCAAGGGTGCGAGAGCTTACCCTTGAAGTCAACAGATTAGTATGCGAGCACAAAAGGAAAAAGTGGCTAGACCACCTGAAGCAATGCAACATTGCCACCGGAACGAGTAAATTGTGGGCAACGGTTAAGTCACTCTCGAATCCTGGAAGGAAAGATGACAGGACGGCTGTTACATTTAACGACGTAACTGTAACAGACCCGAAGAGGTGCGCGAGTTATTTTAACCGGCAGTTCATAGAGCACCCCGAGAGTGACAGGGCGAAAAGGAGTGTGCTACGTCGCATAAGAGCACTCCGAGCTGAGGAGGAACCACCACAATTTACGAAGGAGGACGTTGCAGATGTCATCAAGAACGCTAAATCATCCAAAGCGTTGGGACCGGACGAAATTTCCAGGCAAGGATGCCAGCAGGGGTGAATCGTACAGGCCGATTTCACTCCTGTCGCCGGTAGCGAAGACACTTGAGGCGCTACTCCTCCCATCGTTGAGAAGCAGTTTTCCAGTTGCCCAATACCAACATGGATTCCGTAAGATGCATAGTACAACAACAGCATTACACGCCATTTCCACACATATTAGCAGAGGACTCAACCAGAACAGGCCGTGCAACCGAACAGTTATGGTGGCACTTGACCTATCGAAGGCCTTCGATACCGTCAACCATGCCAAGCTGTTCGAGGATATAGAGAGGACGAATCTCCGACCGTGTTTGAAACGTTGGATAGTCAACTATATGTGTGGACGCCAGTCGTATGTGGAATTCAGAAACAGGAAGTCTAAACCCCGTAGAGTGAAACAGGGAGTTCCCCAAGGAGGGGTGATATCTCCGGAACTGTTTAACCTCTACCTTTCTGATATTCCACAACCACCGGACGGCATAGAGATCGTGATGTATGCGGATGATTGCACGATCATGGCGTCGGGTCCCATCATTGATGATATATGTGAGAGGCTAAACGTCTACATAGCCGATATTGTTAACTACTTCCATCTGAGGAATATGAAAATATCCGCCACCAAATCAACAGCCACACTGTTCACCACATGGACGGCTGAAATGAAGCTCCCGCTGAACATAATGGTCGATGGTGAATTGATTCCGACCACCAACTACCCCAAGATATTGGGAGTAACGTTCGACAGCCTTTTCAAGTCGTCCGCGCATGCCACTGCTTTATGCGATAAGCTGAGAAGTAGGAACAAGGTCCTCAAGTCGCTAGCCGGCAGCACTTGGGGCGCTGACAAAGAAACCTTGTTGACCTCTTATAAAGCAATAGGCCGGTCAGTGGTAAGCTATGCGGCGCCAGTGTGGTTCGCGAATGTCAGTGATACGCAGTGGAAGAATATTCAGACCTGCCAGAACGCTGCCCTGAGAACTGCAACAGGGTGTCTCCTCATGACTCCAGTGGACCATCTTCATGAGGAGACGAAGATCTTACCCGTCCATCGTCACAACTATATGTTGTCGATGCAGTACCTGCTTGGGTGTTATCGTCAGGAACATCCCTGCCATAGCCTTATGGACAGGACTCCCCCACCCAGGCACGTCAGGAAAGATCTTCATGATCTAGAGAGAGAGGTCCAAAGGTACAAGCGTGAACCCCTAGATCAAGAGGCCTATCAAGCAGGTCTGAATGGTATTCACACGGATGCAGTCGCTCAAGCAGTAGAGCAATATAGAGTGAATACCATAATTGGAGACCACCCCCCATCCATAGCAGCTGAGGAGAAGCAGCTGCCAAGGCAAACACGAGTAGTCTTAGCTCAACTAAGATCAGGATGGTGCAACCGCCTCAATTCATATTGGGCAAGAATTGACGGCTCGATACCTAACACATGTCCGGCATGTGGACTAGGACCACACGACACGTTGCACCTCTTCAATTGCCCAGCTAAGCCTACTCACCTATCGCCAAATTCTCTTTGGGCGCAGCCCGCTGAAGTTGCAGCTTTCCTGAATTTGGAGGTAGAGGATGCAGAACCAGACGATGCATGACAAAACAACATGTATTCTGTTGCTACAACAACAACAACAAATATAAATTATAACCCCCAGTTGAGGAAAAGTGTGATCGAATTATCGGAAATGTTTTCAGGTATGCGGAAGAAAATAGACAAGATAAGCGTACTAAGCGCATTCTTATTAGAAAAATTAGTGTAAGAAAATAAAAAAACTGCAACAAAGTCAAACGCCGTAACTTTAACCTTTTTTTATGTTATTGAATGAGTGCAAAAAATGTCGGAGATGACTTCAAAATTTAGAATAAAATTAGATTTGTTCGAATTGGTCACCTTTGGCGCAAATTATGGCCTTCAAACGGCCAATGAAACCGTCACAATCTGCCCGAGTGTTGGTCTGTGGTATTTTGGCCCATTCCTGGAGAGCTTACTTGAGTTGATCAATACTTTGGTGTTTTTAGTGCCAACCTTGCTTTCCAAAATACTCCAGACACAATAGTCCAACGGATTGGTATCATCCGGTGCTTTTGGTGGCCATTGTGCGCTGGAAATGAAGCGAGGAGGAACCTCATTTTGTAACCACATTCTTGGTGAGTGCGGTGGTCCTGAGTCCTGGTGGAATGTCCAAAGTCTGCGGCCAAAATGTTTGGGTGCCCAAGGCTTTAATACATCCTCCAAAATATTTTCGCAATACTATTCGGCATTTATTCTGATGCCATGGTCGATTAATACAATCGGTTAGCGACCATTGGCTGTTATGGCGGCCCACACCATCACCATGGCCGGCGCTTGAATTCTGATGGCAAACCGAAGCTGCATATTTTCAGCTGACCCCTTTGGCAAGTAAACACGATAATTTTGTTTGTTTACAAACTACTGGACAACGAATGTTTTTTGTCATCGGAGAAAACCAAATTCGAATGTCCACCACTTTCGGCCAAGCGAAGCAACTCTTTAGCTCTTTTGAGTCTATTTTCTTTCTGCTGCACTCTTTTTCTTGCACTTTTTGGAATTTCAATGGCTTTGCCACGAGATCATTTTTCAATATTTGCCGAAGGGAATTTTGCGATATGGTTCAGCTTACGAGCTATTTTTCGGCCACTGAGACGCTTCTTTACTTTTCGAACCATTTCTGCTGATGTTGCTGTTTTCTTCCGTCCACTTCCTTGTGGTCGGGCTACGCGCTACCAGTATCACGGCAACGAGCGATGGTACGAGACACAAACGATTTATTCACATTTAAATGCTGGAGTGCTCTAACGATAGCCTCTTGAGGTTTTCCAACCAAATAGAAAGAAATTACACTATCACGCTTGAATGCCATAACGAATAACTTTTTTCTGGAAAGCTCTCACGAAAATGCTTTTGTATGTTTGTAAACAATATAATGAGCTGTCACTGGAATAATTTTAACAGCTGTCGGACGAGTGGCTTAGAAATGACAGCAGTCTGAAGTTGGTTGCAGTTTTTTTTTATTTCACCCTGTATTTGTGAGCTATATAAATCTGAACCGACATTCTTCAATAAGGTTCGTCCTTGGGCCCAATAAGTGACATGTGGCAAATTTCATCCAAATAGGATAATAAATGCGATCTGTACTTTGTTCACAAAAATTCATGGACGAACACACGGACGCATAAATCTACTCAGAAAGTGATTCTATGCATAGTCTCACTCACATTTTTTCTGAGTGTCTGTTTTGGTTGTTTTCTTTCATTTTTTTCTTTCGCCAGTAATTGCTATTTAATAAATTCATAACAATAATAAAAAATGCAATGTCATGCTCACGTAGACCCTAGACAGCGTCTAAAAATCGCAATGAATGAATGAAAATGAAACACCACGGAGCCAAGTGTTTTATGAGAGACGTCAGATTGCAGCAGTTGCTAGCAGCTATGGAAGTGAGAATGTCTGTATGTAGATAAGTGCACAACAACTCGTATATGTTGTCAATTGTCGTCGTCGTTGCATTGTTGTAATAATGAAAATTACGTTACAAATTAGTTGTGACAAAACACGATATAAGCAGACAAAACAGATAGACAAATAGGCTGTGAGGTAGACCAATTATTTTTCGAGTAAAAAACACAAAAATAGGGTTTTTAAGTGTGTGTGTGATTTTTTCGTAGAAATAAAATAACAACAAAAACAATAGTGCAATAAACATTTGAGAGGCACGTGTGATTGTTTTTCTTGCGAAAAAATAAAGAAATATTATTTAATATTATTAATCAAAAAAGATAAACATTGTAAATAGAAAAAATAGGTACGAAAAAAATACGTGTTTTTGCACAATGATAATGAGTTTCGTGGGATCGGGAGAGGTCACACATATTTAATACTACATATTTACTTATTTTATTTTAATTTTTTTCATTTTTTCAAATAAACAATAAAAAAAATGTATTTTATTGGGGATTGCATTAAAAGTTTATTCCTGACAATTAAAGACAAAGCTGATATTCTATAGAAATTAAGTGCTGGATTTACCATTAACTCCTTAGCCAAAAGTTTTCACGTGCATAGATCAACAATAACTCGTTGTTCCCGAAAATGGAAAGAGCATTGTTCAAATGGTATGCAAATCAACGAGCGAAGAACTTGACAATCACATATGCTCAAGCAAAAGGCCATATGCTCAAGCAAAAGGCCAAATTTCTGCATGCCAAAATCAGAGAAAATCCGAGTGACTTTGAAGCTAGCAATGGTTGTGTTTAAACCTTTAAAAAAAGACATGGAATCCGGAGGCTCAAAATATGTGGCGAAAAACTGTCGAATAAGTCTGCTTCGGTTAACCTATTTTGCAAAAAAAAAACACAAGAATTGACGATTTAGATTTAAAAATGGTCATGGTATAATAATAGAAGGTAACAGCAAGTGTTGTTGTACAAAAAACGATACAACAACCACATGGAAATTTGTTTTTGTAAGTTCTACTAGTGTCAACTCATTTGACAGAAAAATGTAAATAAACAAACAAATTATCATCAAATTATTATTTTTTTGAAAATGAAATATTTTCGAATCCTCAAAATAAAAATTGAAAAACATGAATGAAAATCTATCAAATTTATATTTCTATCTATTCCACATCTTTCCTATAATTGACCCATTGCCATATATATGTGTAACACATATGAAAATTCTGGGAATAGCGAGTTATTCCTTGATGAAAGATTTGCTTCCTCAAACTTTCCCAGCAGGCAGATTGAGTAAATTGAATACAGGAGCACATTTAATAAAGAACAATTTTAAATTGTATGCGTTCCCAATTTTCCTGTTGGGTGATTTTTAAAAACATAATTTGTCAAATTCATATTGACACTAGTATAACGTTGGAATCAAATCAGCTGGGATTTGCTGTTACCTTTTATAATTGTACCATGAAAAATGGTATAGATTTACAATGTTGATTAGTCTGGCCTGTTTTGGAAGCTTTTGCCCGATAAAACTTTTGTGCGCTCAAAAGAAACTTCCGCTCCGGAACATAAAATCAGTAAAGAAACAATAATATTTCTTACTTGTTAATGGTTATTAGAAAAACATCAAATCCACGTTCATTCAAAAATTTTCCTCAAATGCTGGTTGTCTACAAAGGAAATAAAAGTGCTTGGATGACCTTGGACCTATTTGAAGAATGATTTCACAGAACATTTGTTCCAGAGATGTGTACATTTCTGGCCCTCAAAAATTCCTTCCACTAACTTCAAATTTCCTAGATCTGCACCAAGGATTATTCATAAGGTTAACAAGGAGGCGAATTCAAAGTCTTCATTGACTGTCAAATTTATTGTTTGAAGAATAAATAAACAAATTTTTTTTTCGAAACAATATTCGTACACAATCTTATCAATACGCTTTTTGAAAAGATATTTGGAATTTTTATCCTGTTCTGGTTGGTATTTCACGATTAAAAAGTTGACAGCAAGAGAAGACTGAGGCATGAATTCGCCACCTTGTTAACCTTATGAATAAACCTTGATCTGCACGTAAAAGAATTCCTGCGTGGCGAATATCTTCTCGAAAAGGCTCTTTTACTTATTGATAATGCCCCAATGCGATCCCAAAGAAGGCGAGTTACAGAGTAATGATGGTGTTATAAAGGGTAATGTGCTTGCCTGCAAACTGTACAGCTCTTATACAGCCCATGGACCAGAACGTTATAAGGCTTACGAAAATGAACTACAAAAAAAGGTATTTAAGCCACATAGTTCATCATGGAAAAACAATTGACAATTCTCTGCGTAATATCAATCTGAAAGACACAATATGCTTGTAGCTGTAACTGTTTGATAAATCATCCGACTGTGATGGAGAAGAAGAAGAAAAACCTCTTTCAGAGTTGCGTATTCAGCTAGCTGAGGACTCATTACCTATTCAATCCATTGCAACTTTGCTTGAGGAAGTAGAACCGTTCCTATTCCGAAATTGAGGAATGGATCGTTAAACCTAAACTGGCGCCCACAGCACAAAATGAAGACCACACCGATGATGACCTAACCGACGATGCTGATGAAGAAACCGACGACGTGGTACACAGTACAAAGAAAGCTACACCGGAGGAGACTATATCAGCATTTAATATTTGCTTAGAATGGGCGGAGCAAAGTAATGCTTCCTTAGAGGAGTGTGGTGCTGAAAAAAACAAGTTTGCACAAAACAAACAAAAAAATTAAAAATTTCAGTTCCACGTAAAATGTGTACTTATTTTTTTTAATTGAATTATTAAACTTGAATGCCAAGCAGATATGTAGGTTAAATTGTATGGAAAATAATAACTCAGTTCCTGAGACAACCTCGAAACGTTCACCGAAGCTGGATTTCATTACGTGCAAGAATCGAGATACTACTGTATCTCTAATCTACAATACGATATAAGCCTATAATCCAATTTTATTGCTATATCTTTGAAAATAAAGAAAAGATAAATAAAAGATTTTTATTTATTTATTTTGAAATGATTAAGGAAAAAATTATGTTATGTTTATTTGTGATTAAACTCAATAAAGAATAAAAACAATTCCTAAGATTTGTCACATTGTTGTATGTAATAATTATCTTAAGAACTATAATACAATTATAAATTGTATATTAGATTATCATTTCAAACCAAAATGGAAAATAATATTAATACAAATAATATGAATATTTGGACAACGACAATGCAAACTACTCGACAAATCGTGATTATCGTCACATATGTTATGGGGGGTATTTCACAATTTTGTTCAATAGAACTTTATCAATATAGATTTGCTAAAATTTCCATACTTCACGTATTATTCCTTTTAGGTGATGAAACATAAGATTAGTTATAAAAACATGGAGTTACAAATTATTGGAGTGATAAGTAAATCCTCAAATCAAGGAAATTATATTACAGTCGAATTTCTTCGAATTAAGTCGATGCACAAATAGTGAGAGTAGCATTAAGGGGTTCAACTGTAAGAACTTCTATAACGGGGGACTTGGAAGTTTCTTTTTCGGGACAATGATGATTCAATGTGGAAGTTCGACTGTATGTTCCCCACATCCAAATGATAATTCGCTTCTCTCCCATAATATTCATCTTTATATATTCTGACGTCATAAAATGCTAATATATTATAATGACCACTATTCATATCAGCAGGAAACCCTAACCCCTGTCCAATATACATGCCGTCATTAAAATTCGAATGACATTGCAAATGAAATATAATCTACACTCAAACAAAGGAATGCTTAATATCATTATGTTTCAAAATTTGTTTATATGAGATAAGGTAACAAAAAAAGAGGACATTTATATTAGGACAATATTCAAAAGGATGGACATACAGTATGTCAAAAATTACTTTACACACGAATAATTACGAAACATTTTCAAATGTAGAAATTCGAAATAACACTAAATACACTCAGAAGAAAAAGTCTGCGTACAAGATACCAATACAGGGCAAGATGAAAAAACGGCAAGCGGCAAAGTTATTCGTGATGGAATTCAAGTGTGATAGTGTGATTTCTTTATATTTGGCTGGGAAATCACAATTGGCTATCGTTAGAGCACTCCAGCATTTAAATGTGAATAAATATTTTGTGTCTCGTGCCATCGCTCGTTACCGTGATACTGGTAGCGTAGCCCGATGTCAACGAAGTGGACGAAAGAAAACAGCAACATCAGCAGAAATGGTTCGAAAAGTAAAGAAGCGACCTGACCTGAGCTCGGGATAAATCCATTGAAATTCCAAAAAATGTAAGTACTTACACCGCATCAAAAAAAATATTTAAAATTTTGGGTTTGATTTGTTTAAAAAATATTGTTAAACAATATATCAAATAGCTGCAGGTCTAGATATGAAGCTATATCTTCTTATCACGCCATATCTCCGAA